AAAAAAATAATATACTATAGAAAAATAAAAAAAAAAAGAAAATTAAAATACTAGAAAAAACAAACAACAAATACCTTTTATTAAGTAATAAAATATAAGAAATTACTTCTTTTTATTAGAAGAAATATATATATATATATATATATATATGAATAATAAAAAGATAGAAATTTTTATAAAAATAAGTAAAAAATTAGATTATAATAAAGAATATATAAAATAAAAAATAAAATAAAAAGGATTTTATTATATATCAATAAATAGCATAAAAACAATATATAGTTAATAAAAAATAAAAATTTAACATATATAAATAATAAAAGTTTTATATATAATTACAGGTATATATTATATTATCTTAGATAAATATATATATATAATAGTTTGAAAATTAAAAATAAATGAACAAAAATTACAAATTAGTAAAAAAATAGAAAACATCAAAAGTTTATTAAATTAAATTTAATGAAAAAAATATAAAAATATAAATATTTATATATAAATATATATAAATTAATAAAATACAATTTTTTTTCTTTCAAGCCAATAAATTTTATTATTTTATATTTATATCTTCATTTTTTTTATCCTAAAAATAAAAATTTTAACAATTATTTTCTAGAATAGAAAAATTATCAAAATTATTTTAAATAAAATCAAGTTTAACATCCTAAACAATATTTTCTTAAATATAAACATCCTCAATATTTTATTCATTTTTAATATTTTATTTTTCTAAGCATTTATTTATTTTTTTATTATTTATATCATAAAATTCTTATTAATAATTCTCAGGACATAATTTAATAAAACTATATATAATATTTTCAATTTCCTATTATTACAAATCCGAACATTTAATTTCTATTTCTTTAAAACAACTTATTTTCTGATTAAAACTTTTTAAATGACTACTTAATACTAATTCAGTATAATTTGGAATAAAATCTTTATAACAAAAACTATCATATAAGAAACTACCAAAAAATCTATAAAAAAAAAAAGAAAAAAATAGATAATATATATATATAAAAATGCATATATATAAAATATAAAAGAGAAAAATAAATTTATATATATAATTATATATATTTAAATATAAATTAAATAATTAAAATTTATTCTTAATATATAATATATTATATATATATATATATATATATATATATATATTTATAAGTATATATTTTATATATATATATTTTTTTTATACCCGTTATTATTTTTAAAATTATATTTCTTAAATTCTTCTACTTCCCAATATTTATTTCTTTGTTTTTATATTTAATTAATTATACTTTTACTACATTAATACTTTTTATCATTTTGAATGCTGATGAAGTTTTGCAAACAAGGATAAACTATTGTTCCTCTTCTTTCTGCTGAAAGTAAATTTCCTGGATTAGCTACTGATTATTTATACCAAATATTTAATTGCCCCCATACAAATAATGATTAATATGTTTTAGAAAGTTTTTTTAGGAAATTATCTAACCCCTATTCTTAATTTTGCGACTGTTTTTCTTCGTAAAGTTCTACATTAATAACATCTCCTTTCTATATAAGTATTTCTTCACTAGTAAATTATTTATATGCATAATTTGTAAAATAAATATGAGTAAAAGCATGAAAATGTAAAAGACTAGAAGTTATTTATTAATTTTAAATTTATTAAAGAAAATCACTAATAGTAAGTAATCCAAATCTTATTAGTAATAAAGATTAAGAATATTATTTAAAAGAATTATAAATCTGTACTTATTTGTCTATAGAATTGATTAAATTTCTTGAATATATTACATACTAATAATTAGTTTCATTATCAGGAATATTTTATAAAATTTCATTTATTCCTTCTTTTATAGAATATTATTTATCATTAAGCCATAATATATTTAATATATACTTTATAATATAATTATTTAAAAATATATCATATATATATATATATATATTTAAAAATATATATATATATATATGTTTACTTCTTAATTCAATTATTATAAAGGAGGCTTAGGATCATTTGTTTTATTAATAAAATATTTTACCTTATTAATTGTTATTACTAAATTTTAAATTCTATTATCTTTTTTTGTTTATGCTTAATATTTTAATATTCTAAAATTTGTATATTTATTTTTATTCCTTAATTCTTATAAGAAAATATTATATTCTTAATTAATAATTCTAAGACTTTAACATATCCATTTTAAAAGCCAAATAGGGCATCCTTATTTGATATTACTTCTAAAGCTTTCTGATTCTAAAAGTTACTATTTTTATATTTATTTTAATATTATAAATATATAAATACTTCATCTTCTGCATTTAATTATACATTTTTTCTACAAGAATATTCTAAAATATAAGTTCGATGTAAAAAGCAACTTATATCTTCAAGTATTTAATTATATTCTTTTATACCTGTAGTTGATAATTCTAGATATTTTCCTCTACATTTACTTGATCCACATAAACATAAAGCCCTCTAAATTATATATTTATTTATTTAAAAATTTTCAAAAAAAATTTAATCTACATTATGTTCTTATTTACTTTCTGTAACTGCCATATAATCGAAAGTCCTTTGTTAAAAACATTAAAAAAAAATTGTATTTATTTAATTATTTACAATTCTTCTCCATAACTAATTTATTACATAGCATATAATCCAATAACATATTTTCCTTCATTATTAATAACGGGGACAGTTCCACAATTAGCCTAACAGGAATGGTTTAATCTGCTTGAAAAATTACCTTTAATAATAGGATCAATAAACTTTATTTAATAATCATATATGTAAATAAATATAATATATGTAATATATATATATATAAAAATATATTTACAATAAATAAAATTATATATTTATATATATATTGATTTTTTTTATAAATTATTTAAATATATTTTATAAAAAGTATAAATTTTTGTATATATTTATGTATATAAAATTACCAAAATATCATATCCTTTAGGATCATCTTTATGAATTTCTAGCATAATATTCCAAAAATCTGGCAATATATTTTACTAATTATTTTCCTTTATAAATTTTTTAAGTAAGTCTTATTTTTCAAACCATCTCCAAGGTTCATATATTTCCCCTACATACTCAGTAATAAACTCATTTTTTTGTATACCTTAAGAACTATATAATAATATTATATTTATATATATTATTATTATTATTTTTTATAATAAAAAATAATTACTTTATACAAGTTAATCCTATTCCTTTAGTATGAATTCTAAATGCTTCCTAAAAAATATTATTTTTATCTAAATTTTTACTTATAACTTCCTATTACATGAATAAAATACAATTTAAAATACATTTTGAGAACTTCTTATCTTAATTAGAAAAAAGATAATTTCTATAATCTTATCCTATTTAGCATTTCTTTTAACTATTATCTATAATAAACTAGCAAACCTTTTAAATATCCCATCCGTTTTCCTTTAATAAATTAACTGCCTTTAATAGTTAAAATTAAATAAATTAATTTTTATCTTTATCAGATGCACATTCATTAATAACATAAAAAATATTTTTTTTTGTATATAAATCGATTCCCCAACTAACATTTTCTTCTACATCTTATCCTATAATTTTTTTCTCTTTTTTAGATATACTTTAATTCTTACAATTGCAATCTTTACATTCTATTCGATTTCCCCTGTTTGGGCATTTGCTTTTCCAAGTACTTTTCTCTAAATCGAATTTTCCCATTTTTTCTAAATTTTCGCAAACACATTTATTATCACATTTACTCGGATTTTTCTCTGACCTTATTTTTTCCTATATTTTATTTTCCCAAGACATCGGCTATATACAAAAATCTTCTATTTATTCATAATTTCGGTAATATTAGGGTATTATAGGCCATTTTTTAACTTTTAATTTATTACATAAATCAATATTTAGTAAATTAAAAAGGTCATTTTTCTTCATTTCTATGAATTTATTGATTATATTATTATTTTATACATTCTATTCGTATTATTGAATTAAATAATTGATGTATTTATAAGAATTCATACTTTAACATCTAAAAATTAAAGTAAAATTGAATAATTTTTTAATATCTAAATCGAATTTTTCATATTGATAATAAATATTATTTTTAACCTTTAATTTTTTAATTTTATTTTTTAATATATTTATAAATTAAAATACTCTTTCTCTAATTTTATCAATATTAAAAATTTAAGTTTGACTTAAATAATTTATAAGATTTTCGTTTAAAATTTATTTCTAGAAATAAAAAACGTCACCATTTTATTAATAAAAAACATTAATATAATTTTAAAATATATTATAATTATTTTCATTAAGTTTTAATTCAATATTTTTTTTGTTATTTCTTCCTTTTTTTTCATTATTATAGTCTTATATTTATATGTATTTCGAATATTCATAGGTATTAAAAATAGAACATCTTTTATATTTTCTATTTATTATGATTACTCGCATTCATTTAAAAGATCGTCTACATATGTGTTAGCAAATTATTTCCTTAAAACTTAAAATATGTCTTTTTATATTAAAGAATCTATTAAACTTAGTAACAAATCGGGAGTATCTGATCTATAATTTAATATTGTTGGCTTTTTTTTGCTATTTAATTTATTTTTTGTGATTTATTATGATTTTTTTGTTGAATTTTCTTCTTTTTTAGATATTTTATTTTTGAGTTTTATATTAGTTTATTTTTTATTATTTTAAAATGAATTTATTTAAATTTTTTAATTATAAATTTATCCGTCTTCACTTTCTTTTTTTTCATATTATATTTCGTTTTTTTCATAGTTTTATTGGCAATCTTTATCTAATAAAATCTCATTTAAATTATACTAATCCATGTTTTTTTTATTTTAATATTTTTATTTTTATTTGTTTTTTTTTAGAAAACAAAAAAAAAAACAAAAAAAACAAATAAACAATAAACAATAAAAAAATGATATTATTTATTTAATTTTATATAAATAATAAATAATAATAATTAAAATTTATTTGATTCCAAATATTAGTTTATTAAATTCGTCCGCATATTTACATATTTATTTAAAATATATTAAAAAATTTATTAATATTATCTAAAATTAATATTTTCGCAAAGTAAGCTCTAAAAGTATAAAATTAAAATACATAGATAATTATATTTAAATGTCATTTCTAATTATAATAAAATTATTATTATATTTACTAATTATATGGAAACAAGTACAAGAATTTTTTTTTTACTGCATACTAATTAATCAATTATAATTAACTTTATATTAAAGTTAAAAAAATTTATAATTATAAATGAGAAACTTAATATAAAGGGTATTTTAATAATATAATATTATTTTTTATTAATTTTTATTAATTTTTATTAATCTCTTCAAAATATATTTTTTTTAAAATTAAAGGTAATAATTACTTTATTAAAACTAAAAATTATAATATGAATATAAAGAAAAACATTCAAAAAAAAATAAAAACTAAACTAAATAAACAAGATTTTAAAATTTATATTAAAAAAGGTAAAATCAATAATAAACAATTCATAAAAATAACAACCAATCTAATTACTTTAATTAATAAAGAAAAAATATAGAAAAAAAGAAAAATATAATTTGGTAATTAAAAAAAGGAATTTGATAGTATTTTTTTCAAAAATATAAACATAATAAATTTTCTATTATTTAAAAATAATATTAAAAATAAAATTTACATTTTTCTTTATAAAATATATATATGTACAAAAGAACTTTTTTTAAATAAAAAAAGAAGAATAATTATAAATAAATTTTATATAATTTAGAAAATTAATAAATTATCATTTTTATTATTTTATAAATATTGTTTTATATTTTTAAAAAAAAAATGAAATAAAAGACTATAAAAATTATCAAATTATTTTCTAATATAAAAAACTTTAAAAAAGTTAAAATTATATATAGAAACAAATAAATTTAAAATAATAATAAAAAAAATTAGATTTTCTATAAAAATTAAAATACAAATTATATAATAATTTAAATAAATTAAATATAATTTTATTTTTTTTGCATTTTTTAAAATAATAAATAAACACCTTATACTTATTTTTTTTACAATATTTAATATAATTTATTTATTTTATTTTTTATTTAATTGAAATATTTTTTTATTTATATTAATTTTATTTTTATTTTATTTTTTATTATAAAATGTAAAAAATATTATTTTATATATAACAAATTTTTAAATTATTTATTATACATAAAATATTATTTTTTTTTTATATTTTTATTTTATTATTATTTTTTATTTCAATAAATTTTATAATTTATTTATATTTTACTTTTTAAAATTTTATTTTAATAAAAATATTTTACTATATATATATTTATCAAATATTATATGAAATTGCTTAATTTTAATATAATAGAAAACGAAATTTATTAAAAATAAATAAGTTAAAAATTATCAAAATATATGTAGTTTCAATTGGCAAAAATCGAATATATGTAAATTGAAATTATATAATATATAATTTAATATTATTTAACTATCTTTTCTGTACTTATTAATATATTTTTGAAAATATTATTATTATAATACTTTTTTATTTAATTTTCACAAAGTAAATATTGAATAACTTTATTATAATTATTATTATTACAAATTTTATTATTTTTATTCTTATAATTGATTTTATAATTCAATATATTTTTCTATTTAACTTGTTATTATTTTGCATTTTTTAGCCTTATTTTTTTTAAAAAAAACTTAAAAAATCTCAATATAAATAAATTATTTTACATAAGCTAACAAATAACTCATCGCAAAAACAAAAATTGCTATAGTAAATATTGCTAATAAGCTCATATAAATAAACCGTATTTAATGATTATCTATTTAATAATTTCTATCTAAAAATATTTAAATTAATATTTTTATATTTTTTAATTTTCAACTTATAAAAAAAAATTAAAAATTAATCCTAATTTTTCATTTAAAACATATTTTATTATTCAATACTTGCTTATTCTATTACTATTTTGTTATTTCCATTTTTTTTGTTTTAAAAAAATTGACTTTTAATTTATTGTTTTACGATCATTTTAATCTATATTTATATTATTTGATTATATCTTTACTGATTAACATATTCCTTTTAATAAAATTTTGTTAATTTTTTCAATAAATATTTATATATTTCTTTTCTTTTTTACCTAAACATAATATTAATATTATTGATATTTGTAGTTTTTTCATTTTTCTTTTTTCAATTCAAATTAAATTAATTGTGTTTAATATAGGAAAATATTAAATGATAATCCCTTTAATATTTTTATTTTTCGTTTTTAGATAAAAATTTTTATTATTTTAAAATTAAATTTTATTATGTTTTTAAATGAATAAAAGATTAAAAAACTCATTAATACATTTTTATTTATACTAACATTACCAAAAACAAATGCATTAAAAATAAATAAATAAATAATATATTATATAAAAAAACAAACTAAGAAAAAGATAGTCTTAAATTATTTGAAAAATGAAAATATAATATTTTTGAAGCGATTTCAATATAGAATTATTAAAAGTGAAACGAACAAACCATATATAAAAAAAGTACAATAAAAATTAAAAAGTATTTTTTATTTTAAATAAAATAGATATTTTCAAAATTAATTTTTGATATATAATTTTAAAAAATTAAATAGTATATAAAGAAAATTAAAATATTATAAACATTATGTTTTGTAGAAAAAAAATATTACATATTTTATTATTTGTTTTATACATATTTAAACATCTTATAATTAAAATAAAAATGAAAAATATATTTTAATAATTTGAAAATATGTTTGCTTTTATATGGATAAAACTTTTAATAAAAAAATATATTATTTATTTAAAATGAATAAATATATTATAATTTATAAATAAAGGGAATTTACATTAATTATATTTATATTAAAAATAATAATTAAATTCATTATTAATTTAAAGTGTGAATATAAAATATTACTATATAATTATTATTATAAATCAAATAATAATATTAGTATATTTTAAAAAGATATTTTATTTATACGTATATATATATGTTGCTTATTAATTACGATTTAAATAATATATTATTAAAAATAGATTAAATTTAAAAAAAAATATAAAAAAAATATAAAAAAAATATAAAAATAATATATATAAATATTTATATATATATATATTATAATTATATATATTTATATCCTTTTTTTAACTAATATACTTAACTATAAATATATTTTTTTATTTATTTAGTTTTAATTTCAAATTTATGATTAAAAATTTAAAAATTAATATAAAAATAATATTTAATTTAAATTTTAAAAAAATTTCTTTATTTTAATCAGCTATTATATTGCTTAATTTTATTAAATAAATAACTAATATTATAAAACTTTATGATCAAAATATTTTCTTCTTTATTTTAAATTAACATATATATATATATATATTATTATATTACACTTGTTTGTTTATAATATATTTGAAAATATAGAAAATTAAATTTATTTTTATTAAATAAAATAACTAGTATTTAATATATAAATATTATATATAATATATATATATTTAATTATATATAATATAAATTTATTATGAAGATTCACTAGAATCTTTTTTTAAAAAAAAATTGAACAATATTAAATTAATTTAAGGGAATTATATATCATTAACTAGGAATTTATATTTTTAATATTAAATTAAATGCAAAACTGGCATTATAAAAAATATTTATTAATATTAAGTTTATATTATATTTCTTGGGATCATTGTCATTGTCATTTTATTTTATTTGTATTTTTTTTAAAAAAAAACTTAATCAACTACAAAAACCAATAGTTTTCCATTTTTTTTGTTAATAGTTTTTTTAAAAAATGATTGTAGAAAAAATATAAAAATTTATAAAAAATAGAAAATATTTATTAATATAAAAATACTTTGATTTTTTAAAATTTTTATAATAATTAAACAAAATATAAATCTTAAATTAAATTTATAAAATTTATTTTTTATTAAAAAAAAATATTATATTTAACTAAAGATAAATTTATTATTTATTAATTGATAAAATAAAAAATAATTAAAATATAAAGATATCAATATATTTTTATAATTAATAATACATAAATTATTTAACATAGTTTTTTGTTAAAACTAGTTTATTAGTAAAATAAAAATATATTAAAATTATTAAGAAAAATATATATGAAAATTAAAATAAATAAAAATAAATATTTTTATATTATTTTTATATTGATAAAAATAATGTATCTATTATTTTACTTAGTTTATTTCAATTTTTTTTTTTTTATTTAATAGTATGTTTAATATAATATATATAACAAAAATAAATAATATATAAGTATAAAAAAGTTTATGTAGTAGATTTTAATTAAAATAAAATAATATAATTAAAAGGATTAAATATAAAAATTATATTATACTCAAAATAAGAAAAAAAATTATATAAAAAACTAAAAATATAAGCTATATTTAAAAATAGAATATATTTTATATTTAGTAAATTTTACATAAACTAAATTATTTATTAATGATGATTTTTTATGAGAATTATTTAAAATATTTTAAATTAAAAAAATAAAAAATTTAAATTTAAAAATAAAAATAAAAATTATTAAAACATGAAAAATAATTATAATGATATAAATAAATAATAATTTTATAAAATAATAAAAATTCAAAAAAAATTTATAAAATAAAATTAAATAGTTTCAAAATAAAATATCAATTTCTTATCCATTAGATTTATAATTATCTAAATCTTACATAACCATAACTTTATTTATATATTAACTTTAAATTTTAGGTCCAATAACATGATCTCCAAAAAAAGAATAAGCAAAAAAATTTTCTCCTGATCTTTAAAAAAGATCATTAATATTATTATTATTATTATTATTATTATTATTATTATTTATTTTTTTATTATTATTAATATTAATATTATTTTCACTATTTTAATTATTATTTTCACTATTTTAATTATTATTTTCAAAATTTAATTTTCTATTTATATTTTCCACAGTATAACTAATATTATTTTCATCTCCAAAATATGAGAAATCTTTGAAATTTTTAATAAATATATCATTTTCATTTATTCTGCTACTAAAAAGTGAATCCAAATTCATTTTAGAACATGTACTATCATTTTAATTAAAACTATTAAACGAATAATTATTATTATTATTATTTGAAAAAGACAAATTTTTATTAGATTATTTTAATTAGTAAATACTTGTATTATCTAAATATTAAAAGTCAAATTAAAGTTTATTTAAAATCTAAGGTTTTAAAGGTGCAACCTTTTTTTTTCTTAAATTTCTTTGAAATTTATATTTTTGCACCAACTTAATTTTTTTATTTCATTGATATTATTTACTCTTTTTTTGTTATTTTTACATAATAACATACTAATAATTTCCTTTAATTCTTTAGAAAAATAAGGTGGGAACTTTAGTTCTTAATTAAGCACTTTTTCCTTCATTTGTATTTTATCTGATGAATAAAAAGGCGGAATTCCAGCATTTAACTCATAAAGCATGACCCCTAGTGTATAATAATCATAGTTTAATCCATGTCCTGTTCTCATATGCATTTCTGGTGCCATATATTCATAGCTTCCGCAATATGTATAATTTAAATCTTCTTTATTGTTGAGGACTTTGCTTAATCCGAAATCGGTAATTTTAATATAACCTTCCATATCCAAAATTATATTTTCAGGTTTCAAATCTCTATATATAATATTTTTTTAATGTAAATATTCTAAAGAAAGGAGTATTTAAGCAAAATAAAATTTAGATTCTTCTTCTGAAAATTTACTTTTTTATTCTAAATGATAAAATAATTCACCTCCAGGGCAATATTCTAATACGAAAATTAATTTATGCTTCTGATTTGATTAAAAAAAAAATTAATTAATATTTTTTATTTCTTTTTTTTAATAAAAAATAATTTAAAATAACACTGTTTAAAAAGAATATTATATTTTAACAAAATAATCACTGTCCTTTATTATTTCCATTACTTTTTTTTCATTATAGATATATATTTCCTTATTTCGGTCTATTATTTATTATTTTTATATTACTTTTAAAGCCACAAATTGACCATTGTCTTTTCTTTTTGCTAATTATTTTTGTTTAAAAAATTATATAAATTTATTTGTTTATGTATTAATTTATATATATGATTTTCTTATTATTATGTTAAAATATATATATATTTTATATATATATATATATATATATATATATATTTATAATATATATATATATATTTACCTAAATATACTTTACTATATCCACCTTAACCTATTTATAAAAGAACTTCAAAATAATTTAAATTTAATTCGATTTTAGAGTTAATTTAAAAAGCAGAACCTATTATTAAAAAAAATAGTATTATTATTAAAATAAATATTAATACATATTTTATTAAAAATATTTTTAAAATTTATAACTTTCATAATAAGGAATCAAAATTTCACCATTCTAAATAGGTTATAAAGATTTATGGTATTAAGTTAAATAAAAATCAAAAAGAATATTTTAATTTTTAGTTATTAATTAAGCAACCTATATATTTTCGATATTTTTTATTTATTAAATTTTCCTTATACATTCAGATAAAAGCCACCCACAAGTTAAGTTATTTTCTTCTGTAATATATATAATAATTTCTATTAATTATTTATTATCTAGTTAAAGAAATATAAGTTTTTTTAAATTTCTAAATTTCTATTTGGTTTTAATATAAATTTCTCATACAATGTTTTTTTATTAGACTTCTTTTTTGCTGTTTTAAATTGAATCTTAATAGGCTAACGATTTCCTTAAGATTCGATATTTTTAAATTATATAATCTTTAATAAATTATTAAATATTATAATTTCATTATTTTTTTGATTTTACTTATATAGATTTTTATTTCTCGACAATGTTATTATTATTTTATGAAAAACTTTATTCGAATTACAAATTATTACTATTTTCATATAAGGTGTCTATAGAAGGAAAAATAATTATGTCATCTTATAAATTTTTA